GACGTTGACGTGACCGATGAGTAAGAGCAGGAGCCGTGAACTTGTCCTTTCCCTTTTTATCCTAGTGTCCGCAGGACAGCCTCAAAGTAAGACTGGACTTTCCTCGAGAGCGTGGACTCTCCCCGTGCCATGAACCCGGGTCCTTCAACAAACAGAACTGTCCGATCACCGTCGTCACCGTACAGTATACTGTCCCCGACCACAGCAGCAATATTGGAGAAAATGCATCCCTGCTTGGGTTCAGGATCTCGGGAACCGCCATACGGTCACCTCTCTGCCGCGGGCTGATGCTCTCGCGACGCCCCGCGTCCCCCCTTGGGCCAGGCCTGCCGGGTCAGGGCCAGGGCAGCCCCTCGCCGATTAAACCCGACCCTTACGAATCTTTCAAACTTCATCACTGACTACTCTTCCCGCTCCGGTCAGGGTCCCAACGTTCACCCGAGCCGCTCCCTAAGTCCCATTTCTGGAGACTCACCAAGCAGCGGCGGCCACTCCTTTGGGTCGGCAGCTCGGACAAGCCAGACCGGACCTAAACCTTCCCCCTTCCCGCGCCTGCGCGCGCCAGGCGAACGCGCCTGCGCACTTTTCCTGCTCCGCAGCACGGCCACGCCCCTGCAGCTGGAGCCAATCACGGGCTGCGGGTGGAAAGATCCCTGCCACGCAGGCGGAGAGCCTGGGAAAGCACCCGTTAGCCGGATCGAGTCCGGTGGTGTTATGCAACAAACATTTACACAGCGCCAGGCGCTGCAAGGGGGGAGAAGGGGGTGTGCATGCCGAGGAAATGAAGAGACTGTTCCTTGCCCTCCAGGATCTTTTGATCTACTTAAAGTCGCATATTGTTAGTTACGAGAATTAAGTCCATTTTGAGATGTGATACAAACAAATGACCTTGTATAGAAGACGGGGCTCTTTTCTACGCTCGCGTTACGGTCTCAGAAACTCAGAGTCGCTATGAGTCGGCATCTACTGGATGGCAGTGAGTTTTTAGATTTTAAGTGTACGGAATACAGTGCTTGACACAGAGAAGACTTTAGGCTCTGTTGGGGCACAATAAACAAAGCACTAGTTCTTAGAGGTGTCGCTAAGGGTTTCTGGAGGAAGTGGTTTCTGACTCCTTAAAGATAAGTAGGTGTTCCCTCGGAAGGAAGTCTGTGAGGGAAGGAGATAAGAGAGTTATCCAGGCTGTGAGAATTAACATGTCATTCTTTGCAGTTCATCTTGGTTACAGGTTTAGAGCTCATGATACATCTCCGAGTGAACAGGAAAATATTCTTCAAAGACGAGTAATGGCCAGATCTTGGAGGGTCTTGCATTTTCAGCCTAGGGAATCTGTACTTCATACCATGACCACAGAGAGCTATGAAAGAGCTATGAAACAAATAGATTATTTTTATCACTTCCTCCATGGTCATTGAAGTGAAGAAATGAGTGTTTAAAAGAAGAGAGAGTCACCCATAGCCCACACCAGAGACACAGTGTGGGAATTGCAACCAATCTGATCCCGCCACTCGAGGCAAAACACTAAAGGAGTGCAAGAGAACAGCAAGGGAATGGAGCAGTGAGGTCCCCAAGGAATGCTGAGGGTAGACTTTGGGGTCAGGGCATGGTGCCCCAACAGACTGGACTGGAAAACACTCCTAAAGGCCAACAAACAGTCCTTAAACTAACTACAAGCTTTTCTTCCTTGTTGTGCTTTGTTTTGTTTTGTTGTCATTGGTTTGTAGTTGTTTTGTTGTATATTGTTACTTGGTTTTGCTCTGTCTTGTTTTTCTGCATGTTATTATCTCTACAGATCTGTCTAAATAAGATAGAGTGGATGAACAATCTGGAGGAGAAAACAACGGTACTGACAGTTCCAGGGGGACATGGGAGAGGGGGAGGTGGGGGAGAAAGGTCGTGGTGTTAACAAACCCAGGGACAAGGGAACAAACAAGTGATCCAAATCGGTGGTGAGGATGGTGTAGGAGGCCTGTTAGGGTATGATCAAGGGTAATGTAACCAAGAGGAATTACTGAAAACCAAATGAAGACTGAGCATGATAGTGGGACAAGAGGAAAGTCAAAGGAAATAGAGGAAAGAGCTGGGAGGCAAAGGGCGTTTATAGAGGTCTACATAAAAGCATGTATATATGCAAATTATATATGAGGATGGGGAAATAGATCTATGTGCATATGTTTATAGGTTTAGTATTAAGGTAGCAGAAGGACATTAGGCCCCCACTCAAGTAATTCCTCAATGCAAGAATACTTTCTTCTATTAAATTGGCATTCTATGA